TATATCTTCAAGGCGTTGATGGGTCAATCGACAACGACGTTTCGAAAATATAAAATCTATGCCAGAAAAATCTCTTTCTATCTGTACCTCAGTTGGAGGTACACTAAATAAGACCGATGCTATTTTGTATAGATGTGCTTGCTCTTCCTTTTGTTTTTCCCAGTACTTTAAAACCGATTCCTTTGGTGGCAATTGTTCAGGCTGAAATGATTCTATTAACATTTCAATGTCAACGATGTTGTTGTTCTGTGCTGTAATTTGAATTTCTTGAAGATTGACTTCATTTTGGAGCATTCGTTCCGTAAGCGCGGTTTCTTCGTCGAAACTATCCGTCGATTCATCCTTCCGTTCATCACCAACATGTTCTATTTCGATGGCACTTTCATTGTTACTGCGAATAAATATGATTCGCCGCCAAACATTCAACAGCACTTGTTTTGCTCGTTCGCACTTGATTTCATCTCGAATCACTTCGGTCCGATACCGCGGATCCAAATATAATGCTGCTTCCATTATTGGATTATTGAAAATATTGGTATTGCGAATTTTAAGTGAATCGAGCAATCCTTTTGCCAGATTTGTAATGTATCGGTTTTTATGTTTTTTTATCAAGGCCTCCAAATGCAGTTGACTTCCAAGCCATTTTCCATAAACGTCTGAAAGTGTCAGACGCTTGGCCTGAAAAGCGATTGTTGCGTCAAATGGAATCTTCAGTATTTGTAGACATTCTTTCAGTATACTCCAATTCAACAGTAACAGGCGATGAAGTTCATCTTTCTTTATATTTGCATAATAATTCACAACATGTTGACAGCTAAGAACATCGGAAATCTAAAAAATACACAATTACACAAAAAATACACATAAGAACAAAATTTAACAAAAATGATAAACTCACCATCAAATACATTGAACCCCAACGTGTCTCTGTGGCCATGCGTGGTAATTTATATTTAATTTCTTTTTCGTCCATTTCATTGATGGTCGATTGAAGCCGCAGCATTTTACAGGCTTCACGACATAAACGTAAAACATTTTTGTGATGATTCTCCATTCCGTTTATTCCATCTTTGACTCCCAGCTGGAGTGTGTGTGCAGCGCAATTAATTCCGGTGATATCAAAAAGGAAGTTAAGACCCGATGTTTCCAATTCTTTTGCCATTACACATAGAAGCGTTTCATTTTTCTCCATAGCTTCTACTTCTTTCATCAGCAGATCCATTGCTTCATCATCAGTTAACTCAGTAACTCGCGCCAAATAATTTTCAACTGCATCGACTGTTTCTGCCTCATCATAATTTTTCAGTGGTGTTGGCGTAATTGAATCACTTGGTTTTGTTTTTTGTATTTCTTCATGGAGGTGTTCTTCCATGTCTCGCACCATTTTTAAGACGTTCTTGCCATTATCGGTAGTAATTGTAAATATTTGAACTAATTCAATGTCATAAATTTTCAATCTTTCGATAATTTTTTGAGCAAGGTATACACCAGTATGCGATGCTTCGAGCTCAATCATACCAATCGACCGAATTTTTAGTTCGCCGGTTACTGAGTATTGAATACTTATGCCCAATATTGATCGATTGTGCTTCGTCACAATGTCCACCATAAGGCTTAGTGGTCGGCCTTTCACCTCTTCACTTATTTTTGCACGCACCTTTTTTGCAGTCTCTTGAAGGTGTTGTTTGACTTCCGCAAAATTGCTATGCGACATTGTTATTCCGTGTCCAGCGGTTTTCAGTGCATTTAATTGCTCTTGAATAATTTTTTGAAAACCAGAATCAAGCAATGAGCTGAATGGTCTTCCATTGACTGAAACCATTTCAACAAAATTTTGGAGCAACTTTAATCGTTGAATTGACGGATGATTTATATCATTGGCAAGTTGCTGGTAAAGTTCATAATGCGAGTTCATCAAATGAGCAGCCAAGTTTGACTCATTTTTCCCGGACAATTTGTCGTCACACAATGTGCAAACGTGTGTTTTTGTTTTTCTAATTGAATTTTCTCCATCACTTTCGTTGATTGGCCGAAAATACGGAAGTGATTTTGATATCATTGAACCGTGTCTTCGCCTTTTTGCCGGACTATCCATTGTCAAATCGTCTTCGTATGAAAATATTAATGCTAATTATTTCAAACTATACCACTGCGTATTACTCTACTCCAAGCTCTACTCTCTACTGCATCACAATCACAGTATAACTAATGAGAACCTGAATAACTCAGAAGTCAGAAGAACATAGAAGCGTTTCTGCGTTTATACTAAACTCAAACTCTATTAACACATAAATATAAACTAACCGTCAATTTGAGCATGAAATACGCATATACAACAACGACATAAAAGATAAAAGTCTTTAATAAAAATAAATACACAAAGCGATGAAAATGTGATGTTTCTTCGAAAAATAAATATTAAATATGAAACGCAAGCAACTTAATATGAAAACAAAATTTTTTTGAGTCAATTTCAGAATTTCTTCATCTCCTATCCTATTCAAAATGGAAAATGGGTACTCCAATCAAACAACAAAGTAAACATAGCAGCGCATTAGTTTGAATTTGAATTTAAAAGTGCCAAAATCCGTTGACAGTTGCTAGTTGCTACACTTGTACGATGTACACACAGACACACAAATATGCATATTGAGTGAATATCTATCTATACAACATAAAACATATACAATGACATTTAAACACTTAACTGCAACGACGACGACCAAAAGAGTGAACAACTGAACACCGACATTCGTTGAACATACATCACTCAGTCAAGTAGGCCTTAAACATTTTAAGTTACAATATTTTGGCATCACAACGGTTTTTTCCTTTGCTTTTCTTCGAGAAATTTTGAGATCGATTATTCAACTTTAATTTATAATTAAAATTGAAATAGATCAAATTAAACCAAGTACACTAGCAAGTACTGAGTACAAATTATTCGTATTGATTATCGAAATTTTGTGAAAAAATGTACGCTCTTGTTGTTTTATTAACGGAACCGCGCACGTACTGTATTATTCCAGAGGAATACATTTATGGTCTACGTGAAATTGAAGACCAGCTCAAAACATGGGGTGTTTCCAAGTTCGATCATTTAATTTTTTGGACTCGTTCACTCCTTGATGATAACACAGCACCAGAAATATTGATTGATCCAAATTTTCAGTTGGAACAACGCCGTGATTTTCCACCGCCCACAGAAATTGAGTCAGCATGTTACATCGGTCGCATCAAACGTTTCTTCAGTAAGTGAATTTTCATATAATCCTAGTTTCATATAATTCTAATTTCATTGTGTCTTTAGAAACATTTGAAGAGGCCAAATTTTTCCGTGACAAATTCCGTCCGGTGCCACCAGCTATTTACAACGCAAATCGCTCGAATCGACAACCAATTCCATCCATCGATCCAATTGCCCAAGACCAAAATGAAAATGTTGATGAAAAATTTATTTTACCGATTGTGGAAATGGACCAAGCCGACACAAATGCGATTGATCATCTATTGAACTTCATTGAAATTGGTGGAGGTGAGAATAATCACCCAATTGACAATGACGAAAATGAGAACGGAGAAGGAGACTTGTTTGAAAATCCATCCGAATTGAATGATTCTGTGACACGTGCTGAACTGAGCGTTAATGATGTCAAAGACAGCGATGATGATCCTCTCAATTTGGACAATGTATCAGTTGAAGACGAAAATGAAAAGGACGACTCCGATCAAGATAATGCATACGCATCACACGAATTTTTAGCGGGCAATGATACCGGTGCAAATCAAGTCCAGCAAAATCCACAATTTCAAAACGTCAATGATGAAGTAGCCTCCGATCAAGGCGGCCATGATACCGATGCAAATGAAATGCAACAAAATCCACCAGTTCAAAACATCAATGATGAATTTGCCCCAGATCAAGGCGGCTACGATACCGATGCAAATGAAATGCCACAAAATCCAACCACACTCAATTCGACTCATAATGGTGAAATCAACGGCTCAAGTGTTCAAGAAATGTCCAATTCGCCAGCAATTGGTGAACCAAGCACATCAAATTTGTCAAATTTCAAAGATGGAAAGATACATGTTACACAAGTCTTTGACGATAACTTGGAAATGACGTATGTTTTGGGTGAAAAACTTGCTCCAAAAGTTGAAAGCAAATACAAGATGAAGCAAAGTGATTTTTTGTCTGGCCAAACACCATTCCAGGAAAACGTAAGTTCAATTATGATTTTTATATGGCTTTTTTCTAATACATTTCGAATTATGAATTAATGTCAATTATTTCGAAACAGGAAGACACTAAAGATCGAGCATATTTGGTCAAAATCGACGATAAATTTGAAGAAGTTAAATTGAAAGGAAGTGTCGCAAACTGGTTGTGTAGTTTGAATGAAAAGAAACGAAACGATCAATCTCTCGATAAGTATTTCATCAAGGCTTTGCTCATCGCAGTTTTTTCTATAAAAAACATCAAAGGGGATGACGAGCTTCATGCCGACCTTATGGCATTTATCAAAGGTACTTTTTCATTAGAGCCATTTTGTAATATACATTTCATTTGGGTTCATATTTATTTATTTTCAGAATTGTTTGTTGTCCGTGCTGGTGAGGAGGACCAAGAGCGGGTGGAATCGTTCGATGATTTGGTTTTGGCTGCTGTTCGCGAACTTCGCAGTTAAATTAACGCACATTTTCAAACACACATTCGTCATTATATTTTTTTTCATTTAAATTTCTTTTTCTCGAGAGATATCATTCTCATTCTCGTTATTTTTATACTTATTTTCTTATATTGATTTGGGTTAGATGATGACCAAGCAATAAAACAAAAAAAAA